GGTATTCATGGTCAGCGATATATTGAGCTCTATGGTGTAGCGTTTTGATGAGGGATTTTTTCTGGGATGGATGGTGGTGAAAATCAGGTTTTTAGGTAGGCATCCATATTGGTGCATCCATATAGGTAGGCATCCATATTGGAGCGTCCCGTTGAGCCATCTGGTTTCTTTTCAATTAAAACATCTAAGAATGGTAACTTGCCATCCTTTTCCACCTCCATGGTGAATTTGATGGTTGGGTGTATGGAATTGATGTGGTTAAAGAATTTGTCCAGAGCTGGTAGGCCATGTGGCCAGATAACGAACGTGTCATCTACGTACCTCTTCCAAAAGGAAGGACGGCGGGTGTATCTGTCTAAAAAGTTTATATGAAAACATTGACTACAACTGGAGATAAGGGAGAACCCATTGGAGTACCTTAAACTTGTTTGTAGAATGTTACATTCAAGGTGAAGTAAGTGTTGGTGAGGCAGTGTCTAACCAGGGCCGGTACATCAGCATTCAGTCCTTGTTGGACCAAATCTTCAATGATTGCAATGGTATCAGGGACAGGAACTTTGATAAACAAAGATACTACATCGAAACTCATATTCTATGGTTCTTTCGGTAAAGTCACGTCGATAGAAACAATGATAACAATACAATAATGAATATGTAAATAAAGTGAATTAAAAAAATACAAAAATATCACGACTGAGCAATCATTGGAAGGACGTTATTAACCAGGTTAAGTTATAACTGGCTGTGATGTTTAGTAGTTATTTTCGACTCTCCAGTGTTACATTAACATGTTAAATGTCTAAACATTAACAGGTTAAATATCCCACTAACACAGCCATTATAATAATAGGGGTTTTCTCCTTTTTTCTGGAAACAAAACTGAAACCTTTTTACAAGGATTCATGTCTGCATTAAAAACAAAATATATGCATTGTCCTTGAAACTGATTGGTCCACACCAGAGACAGCTTTCTTCTGAGCCTCGTCTCAATTGGCACTCGACTAGATGACGCCAAAAGGCGGACCTAATAAAAGACTCCACCTTTGAGGCATCTGCTCTCATGGCTGGCTCCTGGTTTGTTAAGCCAGGTCATCTCGCGGTTCTCGAGTCCTCTCTCATGAACGCAATACGTGTTTTTGCGTAGGGTTACTGCGCCAAGTTAACCCGTGTAGATTGTACACGCTTGTGGTGTGGATCTGAGCGGTTTGTGCGCTGCGATTTTGAACTATGCAACCCGAGTTTGATTCCCAATTGAGGCCAACACCAGATAAGGCTTTTTCTTAACGAGTCCTGGACCTTCTCTAGGTCGACATGACCGCAAATGAGCACTTGGTGTGTGCACCCCTCAACGTGGGAAGCAAAGGTCGCGGGGCGTGGTGCTGGCGATCTACCCCCTCGTGTGCTATACTGGTTGCTAACGGTCGAAAGGTTATATCGGAGATCGAGCTTCATCTTGTGTAAAACTAATGTACACTGTGTTCACTGACAATCTCGTGATGCCTTCATCTGCCGCCGCCATGGAGGATCTGAGCGCTGTGATGGACATCTTCTTGCACGAGTTCTGCGCCAACTGTGAAGAAGGCGCGTGGAGCGTCTCCATGAGGAACCACACGCGACAGAATCTGCTCATAAAGCACATGCGGCCCTACCTGGATGTGGGTTTCCTGTGCCCTCCACGGCGACAGCACCGCAAGCATTTTTCGAGCCGTGCGTGGCGCTGTGACCGCACCTCCTCGCGCAGCCTCTCCACTCGGCTCGAAGAATGCACATTGTGGGATCCTCATGGCCTGGAGCTGCAACACCTCGAGGTAACGCCAGGATCCGTGGCGCTGGATTTTGCAGGAACAACTGAGCGGGAGTAGCCGTTGCTAAGGGGTTGATTACGACTGGTCTTATGGCCACCATAACATGTTTACTCTCGATGCAGCACTGAGCAGAGGAATTTGTACACTGCCTTTTTGCAGAAACTGTTCACGTTATCTCGCCTGCAGGGTGCGTGTGACCTGGATGAAGTGCGCAAGATCATGGGGGATCTGCATGAGAACCAAGGCACCAGCCTGGACTTCCAAGCATTCATGGCCACGTGGATGCGGATTCTCGTGGCTGGCCATGCCCCGTTCCAGGAGTGTGTGTTCCTCACCAAGGGGCCATGTGGCCCGCCCATTTCTTCAGATGAACCGAAATAAATCCCTTTAAATGGAACTATTTGAAGAATAAAATCGCTGGGAAACTGGTCCTGGTCTTCGTGAATCATGCGTTTGACCTCGCAGGTGTTACGATGAACGGGCTTGAAATTGTTTCAAAACAGCTCCGTGATAGGCGACACGACGCCCAATGATCAGTGCCCTCTCCCGTTTTTTCATTAACGATGTATAGGCATATCTCGGAAAGAATCGGAAGTTGAAAGCGGCCAAGCTCACACCTGAGCTTTCGGATTTGGAAAGTGTTCTACCAGCGTAACCGTTCACACTATGCAAAGTTTCTCGAGCGATGCATAACTATAAACTGATCTTGTCCAAAGCTCTGTGCTACGAGAAGGCCGTTGAATGTCTAAATGGAGGAGCTTCAACTTCGGTGGGAATGGGGTGATACCAAGGATATGCAGATGAAGACTCGCTATTCGAGGGGGTATCTCACTTTAACAAACATTATTCACCGGGCATTAGCGTTTGTTTTCCAATGATGTTATTGGTGGAAACAAATGCACAGGAAAATGGAGAGGGTATTGCCTCTGATTTTCTGATGAAACTCCAACGTGGGATATTAATTAATGTGAAACTGCAAGAGATAATCAACAAGCCCAAAAGTTGGGCTCTTAAATGAGCCGAACAAAGGTCGCGAGCAACATGCTGGGAAACATCGCAGACTGATTTAAAGGCACGAGCGAGGTTTAAGTTGTAACCAATTGTGAAAGGGTGCTCCGGTGGCGAGACGTTAACGACCTTGCCTAATATACAGGAGATCATGGGTTCGATCCCAACCCTGACGCCTGCTTTATATGTGGAGTTTGCGTTTCTGTCTTCGCCAAGGTTGCGTCGATTTTTTCCGGGTTTTCGGTTTTCCCCTTGCACATTTTGATACATGCGCTTGAGTATTTGGCGGCTATAATTTTCCGCTTGATAGGCCAATTCATTCAGCTACCATTTGTGGCCAGATCACTTCCGAAAAAGAACACTATAGCTCAGTGGGCCTTTCCTGTTCAAATAAACTGTTTAATAGTTTAAATTGAGGCAGTGAGGTCAACGTGCGGATCTGGCACGTGAATTGCCGTGGGGTTCCCCGGTGTTTGACCTCGGGGATTCCCTCAGAAGTTTTGCTGCTGAAGGTTGAATGGGGAGAGTCTCCACTCGGGTTGTGATGTTCCCCGCAGCTCCGGTTACTCCAATACTCGGTGCCACTCCGTTTCCAATCAACGTGCAGCTGCAGACAACGATAAACCCCGTGTGGTGTCCATGAGAGGGGCCAGAAAGTGCGAGATCTGTGCTGGTATTGAAGGGGTATGACGCGACAACGGAAAAGGTCCCGCCTCCCCCCCTCTCACATCCCATTCACCACCGACTTACCACATTGGTGAAGTATGGTCAATCAACACGGCACATCCAGAGATTCGTTGAAAAAGCATTCGAGTCGAGTGCAATTTGTGTAACCAGGTGACAACTCAAGAGACCACGGAGGGCCTGATCAGAAAACATAACCCAGGTAACGAGAATTTCAGCCACAAACAATCAACATCTATTAAGCAAAGGGAACTCAGAGCAATAACAACTGCGTCACGAAACATCTAAAATATTTCACAATAATAATTATGTTTTATTATAAATTCCCTGTAGCAGAAGTCGGCTCGGGTAGATCATTTTTAGACCGATCACATTAAACATATAAAAGATGGCTATCACATTAATCTGAAAACAGGTGAGGATATTCGAGCCAAGTGCAATTGCAAGTGAAGTTACCGTAGAGAATCGACAACTCAGCATCGAATTACGATGTCGATGGGAGGGGAATCAAGGACATTTGCAAAGCGATGGAATTTTAGGCGTTTGAGGCATTCGCAGATAACAGTGTAACAAATGTTTTTGTTTCTGGGTAGTGTTATTTCCTAATTGCTTATGCCTCAAAAGTAGAGAAAATGGTTATTCCCCACAAACTTTGCTTTTGTGACCAGGACAGTTATATTTTGAAATGTACCTTTTTTCCAGAACATTCCAGATAGATTCAGTGCTGAGTAAACTTGGAGTAACTTCTAGAACATTCTAGAACTTTACAGTAATATAAATAGTAGTATATATACGGGGGCCTTAAGCCGACCAGTTCAGTTTAGTTCCAGCTGGGTAAGTGGATACCTTTCTGCATTTTTCTGAGATGGCATCAAGAGGCTGCAAGCATCTGGCAGACGCATTTTGCTATGTCTGCGGCCAATTTATCAAGACAAGAGCAAAAAAGTACTCTGTGAAAGCATCTGCGAAGATGTGTGAGGCCGACAAGCCATATTTTGGCATGCCTGTCGGGGATCAAGACAAACCCTGGGCACCTGATTTCACCTGCGAGCAATGCAAAAAAACTCTGGAAAGTAAGATGGACAATTGTTGCTCGGAATTTTACGTTCTAAAATTTGTTTTAAATGAAATAATGTTTTACAATTTTTCATGTCATTGAATTTTTTTTTATTAATGGAGATCAACGTAGAGTGGCTTTTGGAAAACCGAACTTCGTGATATAAAGTAACGCGGCAGTGTCAATGGAAACGCAAAATCGTGCCAGCAGCGTTTAATGCACGTCCTTCATATCGCGCTGTTATTATGATGATGACGTTGGTGATGACACGATGACGCAGTTGAGTTATGGGATTTTAAGAGTGATCTAAGCAACATAAATAATATACTTTACTGCAATGAAGCAAAAAAGTATTTGAAGGAAAAACAACTACGTCCCATGAAAAGTTGCAACTATTGCATTTTTCATAATTCATGGTTCATAAATTCCCTGTAGCCTGAGTCGATTCGATTATTTTCGACTTATCGTGGTATAATTACAAGTAACATGAACATTAAACAGATATAAGGTGGCTATTGCACTCAACTGTAAACACGCGAGGATATTCGAGTCACGAGCAATTGCAGGTGAAGTTATCGTCAAGAATCGACAGCTCGGCATCGAATTGCGATAGAGATGAGAGGGGAACCACGGACATTTGTGAAGTATTCGAATTCCAGGCGTTTGGGGCATTCGCAGATGAGTGGGAACCACGTGTGCCATGTGAAACTGGCCAAACATCTCGGCGCAGGATACTGGGAGAGATTCGTGATACTCGGTGACACTGCAGGAGGAGTGGCGCTGTGGTGATCGGAGTCGTTAACGCGAGAACTGCGTCTGTGCGCGGCAGTGAGAGACGCGAGCTGCTGGCAAATCACGTGGCGAGGTGAGAGTTCAGGCGAATCGACGCTGAATATCAAAACTCGCATTGGATTTGTGATCAAGTTTCCTGGCAACAGAACAGCGAGTGACGCCTTCACGACAATAGTGAACATCACAGAGACAGACAACCTCAGCCACCCTCCTTCTCGTCATCATCATCAATTATCGTCACCGTTTCCATTACCCCGCACGGGCAGGGAATTCGTCTGAATGAGTTGACGCACGGAATTGGTCAGATTCACACGCGGAGACTCGATGGGTCACGTGACGTCAATAAAACATGTCGATGAAATGATTGTTAACGGCACAGGTGCAAACAATTATAAGTGACGTCACCAGCACACGTGAAGGCGTAATTGGTGACGTCACCAGCATAGGTGAGGATTTAAACCCTGCGGGAGGCGGATTCAGTAGTTGCTGCTCGGCGTTCGTATTCTTCTACATCCCGGTGAGTTCCGGCTCCTCTCGGCGTCTCGAGTGCGGTGAAGACATCCGTGGCTTGAGGACGTGTCTAAATCTTACTGCTTGGGATAAAAAGACATCTGGGCGTACTGTTGGCCTTAATAGGTGCTTGTTAACAATGATGTTTTAATTTAACGACTGGAAAATATTATGGGGGCATGTGGTGGATCTGCTCTTGTCTGCAAAACCCCAAGCCGTGTTTCACCTGGGTGGCTTTAGGTCCTGTCAGATTTGGTGCGGTCTGGGGTACTTACAAGGATCGCTGCTTGGTTCTGTTTAGCATTTAACGTGACACTTTGGAGCAGTTATTTATAGGGCTGCGCTACCATTGCTACACAGATGACGCCCACGTTTGCCTCCAGCTAACACCATATTCTACATCGAATTTTTTTTTTTATTTCTACTGCAATCACGGTTGCAGGAAAAATATTTCCAGAGCTAAATAAAAATTTCAATATCTTGGTCGGCTCTCGCCAACTAAACTGGCACTTAAGCCTAATTGTTGATGGCCAGAACGTCTGCCCGAAGCATGATTGGTCATCTTGGTGATATTTGATCCGTCCCTTTCCATGCAATGTTCATGTTATGGTTGTGAAAACCTTTTGCCTCCCAACAGTGCTCGACTGCACAAAATACTTGTACTTGCTGATTGTGAGGCTCGTCCATGCATCTGTTCTCTAGCGAATCGATTATTGCAATGCCTTGCTGGTATAGGTTTCAAATAAGGTTCTTGGTATATTACATTGTTCAGAATGTGGCAATTTGGCTACTCGCCCTAACCCCATTGTGACCTTATTTCTCTGGTTCTCATTACACTGGTTTCCTGTCCTGAAGCGGCGTTTTTTGAAAAACCTTGTACTAGTTGGTTTTTAAGGTCTTGCAATGGCTGGTATCACATTCGTGAGGTTGATTCATCCCTACACCCCTTGCCAAGGTTGTTAAGATCTGCAATCCCCCACCCTTCTGCGAGTACTGCGATCCCAGCTGCCTTCCTGGGGTGAGCGGGCATTTGCTGTGCCTGTGCTGCACGGCTGGAATGCTCTACCTCTATACATTCGTTTATCCTATAATTTGGGTACTTTTAAGTCTCGTCTTTTTAAATCATTTAATTGTCTGCATGTGCATCACTTCCTCAGACGTAGCAAACGGCAAATTTACAAAGGTGAATAGCGTTGAGAAAGTGCCGCATTGTTCTCTCTGCGCAGCTGCACAGTTGGGCTAAATTGTACATGCGTCAGAGCATAGCGCTGTCATCTGGCGACGTCTGCGTAACATGAACGCGTCGCCTAATGGCGCTGCGTCTGCACACGATTTGCTCGGACTCGTCGGTAGTTTGGTTGTTAGCGAGGGTCTTAATTATTATAAGAAAAGTCTTATGCGGGGGGGGGGGGGGTGTTGCAAGTCGAGCTGTCCTATACGTCTGGGCACCCAAAAAGGCCATGGGCGTGCTTTATCTTGGTATGTAATGTACACGTGTGTTGGGTGAAGGAATCTCGTAATGCCTTCTGCTGCTGCCATTGAGGATCTGAGCGCTGTGATGGACATCTTTGTGCGCGAGTTCTGCGCCAACTGTGAAGGAGGCACGGGGAGCGTCTCCATGAGGAACCACACGCTCCAGAATCTGCTCGTGAAGCACATGCGGCTCTACCTGGCGGTGGGTTTCCTGTGCCCTCCACGGCGACAGCACTGCAAGCTAACTTTTCTCGAGCAATGTGGTGCAATGACGCGTCTCCACGTGCACTGGGAGCCGCTGCGGCTCGAGGCGGTGACAAGTGCTGTGGCATTGGGTTTTGCAAGAACGACTGAGCGTGCTTCGTCACTGTTAAAGGTTGAATGAGAGTGGCTCAATAATGACCACATAGCATGTTGATTCCTATTCTTGTTGCTGCAACACTGAGCAGAGTGCTTGGTGCATTGGCTGTAGCAGAAAGTGTTCCTGTTTCACGAATGCAGGGTGCGTGTGACCCGCATGAAGTGCGCAAGATCATGGGGGATCTTCACGAGAACCAAGGCGCCAGTGTGGACTTCCAAGCGTTCATGGCCACGTGGACGCGAATCCTCGTGGCCGGCCATGCCCCATTCCAGGAGCGCGTGTTCCTCACCAAGGGGCCCTGTGGCCGGCCCATTTCTGCTGATAAGCCCAAATAAATCTCTTTAAAATATATAAAAGATTGCTAATAAAATTGCTGGCAAACTGGTCCTGGGTTTGGTGAATCGTGTGTTTTTCAAGTTGACCCGGCAAGCAATGGCTGATGCATTTCCCTTCTCGTGATGCAGAATTGTTTTTTGGCAATGGCGGTGGTCTTAATGGAAGAGCCTCTCCTTGTGTTGTCTTTGCCCAAAAGGAGCCACGAGCGCCCCAATGACCTTGCACATGTAAGGAGGGATCGGGCTTTACTGTTTAAAAACAGGTCTGATGGGTGACACTTCACCCAGTTATTAGCCCCCGAAATTGGTAACATCCCTGGAATGTAATTCGTTAGACACGGGTGACAATCCCTTCACCCTCGGTGTATAGGCAGTTCTTGGAAAAAAAATCGTTGTTCCAGCGGCCACCCTCGCCCCTGATCCGTGGTATTGACTTTCTACCAACGTAGCCGTTGAGACTAGAAATTGAGTTCCTGGAGTGACGCATTACTACAAACTAACCTTGCCCCCAAGCCTTCGCGAACAATGATAAGACATTTGACTCTGGAAAATTTAGCTTAAACTTCTGAGATGCGGAGGGACTACGCCGAGAATATGCAGATGAAGACCATTGATATTTTGGTGGGGGGGGGGGGGGGGGTTGCACTTAAATCAACGTTTCTCAAAGCTCTTATTGGTGGAAGTGTAAAGCTATGGACAAACTTGGAGCCTTGTTTTTATTACACGAACACTTGGCCCCACTTGCTTGACTCTTGAAGTGCCTCTTCCCCTGACATGTTTTTGTGCTCTCCTCTTAGCTCTTTGGAGCCCCCTTCTCTCACGTCGATCGCCTCAAGGGTGCGCAAGTCACCTTAGAGCTTAACCTTTGCTTCCTGCCTTTTTCAGTTTGAATCACTTCAAACCTTGCCTCCTGTTCAATCGCCTATGGAGGCCTCCGCGCCAATAGGAGGCCTTGGTTGTCTCTGGTTGCACGTTTGCTTCGGATGTCTAATTAAGGTCATTGCTGGTGGTCTACTCCAACGTGCGATGCAAATTGATGTAAAATGCCAAAATATCAACATTTAAACATGCCCCTTCGAGTATTTGGCCGTTGCAAATTTCCACAAGCCAGTCGGCTATCATTTGTGGCCAGGACTCTTATGAAAAATCTCCGTATAGCTCTGGTTTTTACCTGATAAAAGAAACAACAGTTTAGAGGCGGTGAGCTCAACGTGGAGTGACTTGGAAAACAATACTTTGTAACAAAGCCATGTGGCAGTGTAAATGAGTCTTGCAGGAAAATTGTGGCAAGTGTCTAATGTACACAGGCTTCTCATTGCACCAATGTTGGTGGGGAGGTCTAAGATGTAGGTTGGTCAATGCACATCTGGTGCGTGAATTAGCATGGGTTTCCAGTCTGACCTAAAAAATATTGCTGAAGGAGGAACGTGGCTAGGCGGGGTGGTGATGTTCCACACAGCTCTACCAGCTCAACTGCTCAAAGTGCAGCTACATAGCGCCAATCCCAGTGTGGTGTCTGAGGGGCGAGAGTGCAAGGTCTCTATTCATATTGCAGGAACATGACGTGACAACTGAAACTGTCTTGCTCTTTTCTGTGCCTCATCCCATTCACCATCACTGACTTCCTAACACCGCACAAATAAACCATTCAAAAAGTAAAGTTTGTTTTATTTAACCAGATGGGATGAAAACACAAGAGGCCAGGATGGTCTAATTTGCAAGTGACTTGGGTCACCAAAATGACGAACAGAATGAAGCTAATAGCAATCTGACCCAAAAGCAACTTGCACAATCCAAAATATCGTACGGAAAGAAATGTAATGAGTTATGTTGAGTTAAGTTACATAGATGCAAAAATCTGTGAAACAAGTGAGGATATTTTAGTCAATTGGGGATGAAGTGATTGTAGAAAATTTACAGCTAGCATCAAATTACGATATAGATGGGAGAGGAACCGTGGACATTTGTGAAGCGATGGAATTCCAATCGTTTGGGGCATTCATAGATGAGTGCGAACCTCGCAAGCCATGCGAAACTGGCCAAACATCCTGCAACAGGACCCTCCTGGGAGAGTCGTGAAACTGGGTGACACTGCAGGATGATTGGCACTGGTGATCGGAGTCGTTAACGTGAGAGCTGCATCTGTGCGTGGTAGTGAGAGGCAAGAGTTAATGCGAATCTAAGTTGAGTAAAGAAGCTGGCATTGGATTTGTGATCCAGTTCACCCTGCAAAATTGCGGAGAGTGATACCTTAACGACAATAGTCCACATTGAAGAATAAGTATAACCCGTAAAAACAAAGTTTTTCACTCTAAATCCTTTATATGCGTGGCGGCTAGTCATCTCGTCCTCTGGCTTGAGATGGCTGCCACCTATGGGTCAGATGATTGTCTGCCAGTATTAAGCAATTGGTAATTAAATATTTTATTTGTTTTCTCTAAACAGTGTCAAATTTTGGAAAAAAATTTTCACGAATATTAATTGTCTCGCACAACCAGTCTGTGCAAAATGTCAGCTCGATTGGATCACGGGAAGTGGGTTAAAAAACGACCGAAAGATTTGCACGGTCGCAAGCAAGCACGCAAGCATGCAAGCATGCAAGCAAGCAAGCAAGCGAACTTAATATAAAGGATTTAAAAAAAACTCAGCTACCCTTGTCATAGTTGTAGCAGTTTTGGATCTGGGTCTCTCAGCACTTCTCTACAAAACCACTCGAAACAGTCGAGCCCACCCGAGCTCTCAGCTCACAGTTACTCGGCATAGTCAGCCAAAAACGAAGAACCACCGACTCTTACAAGACTTTTTTCCAAAAGTATTTTATTAACAAAAGATTCAGGTACAAGCAAAAAACCTGGAAACCTGTCTAAACTGCACGTATCAATAAACTTTCAATAAAATCTGCAACCGTGGTGTCTTCATAAGCTCTGATACCCTTGTAGGAGAAAAAAAGGGAGGGGGTGGGGAGGAGTGGCTAAATGCCCTCATGAATGTTCCTACGAATCATTGCCCACTGGAGGGGAGGTAGTGAAGGGGTTCCATGTTTTGTGGTAAGCTTCCTCCATGCCCCTTAGTTGTGCACTTGGATGCTCGAAGGCGGCATTTTTTGATAATGTATTGGCCCATTCCTGCAGTGTTGGGGGGAGCATGCTCTCTCCTGTTGGCTATAATGGTGCGTTTTGCCATAACACTGAACATTTGGAATAATATATTTGCCTCTATGGAAAGGCCTAGGGGTTTCAACCCCAATAAGGACATTTCCAGTGAGGGTGAGATGCTTGTTTTGTGAACGTGGTAAAAGTAGCAAGTGATCCTTTGAAAAACATTGTTAATGTCTGGACATTCACAAAAGGCATGCCTGTGTTTGAGGAGTGTCCAGGGGGCATCAAGGGAGTTGGGGGGAGTTGTTTTGTCAACTTAACATTTTCTTTGGTTAGTTAATAGCTATTGAAAAAAAATTGGGGTTCTCTGATGGGGGCTGAGTGAAGATTTTGGAAGTGGCCGAGTTGAGTATTTGCAGAAAGAGAAGATGGATACAAATTGAGCAATCATTGGAAGGATGTTATGAACGAGGTAAAACCTTAACTGCTTTATAGTTTGCCTTCGTATCCGCATCTCCAGTTTCTTCAGCCTTCTACCCTCCAGCCCTGCTCACTTTCCAGGCCCGACATTGTGTTGTACTCGGGCTCGGGTTGGAGCTTGCACTTCGCCACTCCCCGTACCCCACGCCCCCACCCTCTCTATCTCTCCTCCCTGGCTCACCCCCCCCCCCCCCTCCTACATATATATAGCCTCGTGTCACAAGCAGTTTCCTTTTGCCCACTTCAGCGATTGTTTATTGCTGTGGTTGTTTCCACCTGATGACAGGCACTTGTGTTGCGCCCGAAACGTTGTGATTTAATTCATTTTGTTACTACGTTACTTTACCGAAAGAACCAAAGAGTATGCAGAAAGGGTGTTGGGATAGTGACAGGGAGCGCTCAAATTAGGAATATAAATTTGGACAAAGTCATTATATTAATTATTTGTATTCTGATTGAGAGAAGCAGCATGCATTCCAAACATTCAAGTGAGTGCAAGTCGACTGTGGCAACGGAGGGAAATTAGCAGCGAAAAAAGAAGGTAGGTTATGGTATTTTCACCCCGAAATGCTTTATATTGTTTCGTGACCAGATAAACTGGCATAATCTCTGATTTTCAGATTTTTTAATATTTAACATTTATCCTGCTGCTGTGCTGTAAACATCGATAGTGTAATGACATGATGACACCTGCTGGTTGGAAAAGGGAGGCAAGGGTATGGGCACCACTAAAACATCATCCAATCCCAAACGGAGAGGTATCTGGGCCAAAGGTAAGGGGCCGGGGCTGGCCGATATACTTCGGGAACCTGCGGGAAGTTTCCACAAGAGGGTGTGGCAGGAGGCGGAGCCTAGCCGCGCCTGCAGCAATATAAGTGGGAGCGGAGGAGGACTCATGGTCGGTATGGGGAATCTTGGGTCCGGACTGCGTCGCTGCTCGCCGTCATCTCCCTCCATCGTCCCGCCACGTGGCAGATCTCCTGCCGAGTTCCACCACCCTTGCCGGCACACCGTCAGCCAGCGGCGAGGCCGGGAGTGGACGGGTAGAACCACGCCGGATGAGCGACCATGTGTGTAGCCTGTAGGGACGCTAACATCTAAGTGTTGCACTCAGAAAAGGAAGAAGATAGAGTTGGCCTGTGTTGTGCCCGTATGTGAAGTAAAGAAGAGTATCCTCTACACCAGGGGTCCCCAACCCCCGGGACACAGACTGGTACTGGTCCGTGGCCTGTTAGGAACCGGGCCGCACAGCAGGAGGTGAGCAGTGAGTCTGCGTGGGGCCCACCCATTATTTGATTTACCACTTCTGTCCGTGCCTATTTCCCGCACTGCGCACTTGTGTCAGTCACAGTTTTGGTAAGCCCACAAGCTAACCCTAGCCAAAATGAGTAAAAAAACTAACGTCGCTGGAGAGCTTCTTTG